AGAAGGGCTGGGAAGGATGGGGAAGGGTGGAACCTGGAGGGCTGTGTGCTCTTCCATGGTGGGGAGGCTGCAGGAGCAGAGCCACACCCTAGATGCCATTACTACTGGTCCTTCACTGATGGAGGCCCTAGGATGGTTGTCAGAGCAAAGAGAAGAAAGGCGTAGCCTTGTGTGACTTGCAAGCCAAGAAAGAACTTCAAGCATATTTGTTTTTCTTTAGAAATTCAACTAGTGGTAGTGAGAAAGAGAGAGAGCAGAGGGGTAAATGGCAACTGGGAGAATACTAACAAGATTCTATCATGATCTAGAAATCTATTAGGCCAATATTGGGTGGAAAGAATGGAGAAAAACATAGCAAGAGTTGTTCTTTTTGTTGAAGAATAGGAGTTAGTGGGGGAGGGGTGAGTAGCATAGGGAATGACCTCCAGATTTCTTGTTTGGGAATATTGGTGTATGGTGGCCAGGTTCTGTGAGTCAAAAGAGGGAGGTAAGGGTTTGGAGTAGGGGTCAGGTATTAGTTCTGTGTTGAATAGGTTGAGGTGAAAATGATAAGGGGATTCTAGCCAGTGGGCAGGCACTCAGGACAGGGCTGTGTGAATGAAATGAAAATGTGACCACCATCAAGTGTGGAGGTGTTGATGCCTAGAGGTTGGACAAGGTTGCCAGGAAGTAATGGATGCAACGGAAGGAGCAAACTGCTAGGCAGGAAGGTGTGTGCGCTGGGAAGGGTGTTATCCGTTACTCGGAAATTAATGGCAGAGGAACAAGTTCCCACAGAGAGGCTGAGAAGGGGCCATCAGAAAGCGGAGGTGGGGGCCCCTGCCAGGCGGATGTCCAGTACCTGTGGGGTGGATGCAATACTGGTCAAGCCCGTCCTCCAAGGACTCCTTAGCACAAAAACTATAAAGGCATCATTTGAAGAAAATTAAAAGTTCTCCAGTGCTAAAAAAAAAAGTTCAGAAACTACCATGGTAATATGTTACACAGCATTTCCTAAGTAAACTACTTAGGAAAATATAACAACTTTACTCTATATTGAAAGTAGATTACAAAGGTGTTAAAAGATTCAACTTAATAATTGAACCATAAAAGTTTTTTTTTAATGTGAATGTACTTCTGTTACTGAATAAAGATTATTTCTAATAAACCAGCTAAAGCAGAAAGGAAAGGAAAATAGATTTGATTACTTGAATATGTAGAGCTTTTATGTCAACAGTTGTATACAAAATTTAAAAGCATTTGGTATTCTGGGGGGGAAGAGTAACTCAAGTTTATTCGAACATGTGTATGTATCTAATACAGAGAGATAACTGGAAAATTACAGTGATTTTCTTTGGTGGTGTTCTAAGTGACTTTGTATTTCTTTAAACATTTTAACTTTTTTAATAAGAATTACTATCTTTTTTTTTTTTAGATAGTGGGAAAATAAGCATAGAATGTGTGCATCAGCAATAGGACAGGAAAAAAAAAAAAAGCAACAGAAAAGAATTCAGTTACCTAGGTGCCTACCTCAGGAAAGTGGTGAGGGCAGAGCCCGGTTGCAATAGATTAAGAACACACAGAAATACATGTATAAACAAACCTCCAGATATTGGCAGTGAGGGAGGAGAGCAGCACAGTTACAACACCTTTAAAATACTCGACAGTTCACAGTAGAAAATGCCCTTGGCATCGCCACCCAGTAAGCCCCTAGACACATGGTTTTAGATAGATTACAATTTTGAAACAAAAATTGTATTTATAAAACAAGGTTTCCCCATTAGATATAATGGAGTTTCTGTTAACATGATTTTATTCATAGTGGCAAGCACATGCTTACCTGTTTGTAAATTTATTCTAAGCAGGTGACTCAGGTGCTTCCTGCCTTCACCTCAACCTCCCACTGTTTTTAATTATAATGGTTAAAAATTCTGGTTCATACAAATAAATTGCTGTAGATGCAATAAATGCAATATATTCTACTCAGTAATTGAAATTCTTAGTCCAAGCTGGTGATAAACTTGTAATCATTCCTCATTATTCAATAGCTTTCATTTGGAGGCATCAACCATACTCAAATTTGAATTTGAGATTTTTGAAAAACAAATGAATATTAAATTCCAATAATTTTCTTTAATATTTCAAATTTCTCTTTTGAAAATGATTAAAGTTTGAAATAGATAGACAATATAATTAATATCTTTAATTTTATTCCATTCAAAGTATCTTGATTAATAATGTTCTCTGTGTTGCAAAATGTTGAAGATAGATAGTAACCATGGTAATTACTTAAAATGTATTTTGTAACTTGAATATATTCAACATGTTGACATATATTATTATCCCGCCATAGATCCAAGTTTTAAAAATATCAAAAAATGTGATACATATAATAATGTTATTGTTGAAATGTTACCCGAAGCACTAGTCAATGAAATTGCTTTTAGCTTTATTTATTTACTTTTTTAAAGATTTATTTATGCATCAGAACTGGGGTACAGGCCAGAAGTGCAGGGGGTGAGAGGACTCACCAGAGACAGAGGAGAAGATCAGGCAGGCAGATTGATGAAGTACACTGCTGAGGGGAGCAGTGGGTGAGACAGGAGAGGTCTGCCACGTCACGTAGATCACCTCCAGGCAGGGATCGAACTCACATTGAAGCTGCTGCAAATAGCTTGCAGTGCTGTGCCTTAACCTGCTGTGCCATCAAGGAGGGCTAAGATTGTTTTTAAAAAGGAATCAACTAGACATTTCCTCATAACAATAGCTTTCGTGTGACATAACAGGCATACATGAGATTACCGCCTGATAAACCCAAAGACAGATAAAAATACCACAAGTAAAAAATGTGTTTATGGCCCTCCCTGGTGGCGCAGTGGATTAAAGCACAGCACAAAGAAGCTTAAACCACTTCCTCATGAGTTTGATTCCCGCCTGCCCCGGAGGTGATCCACATGGCGAGGCAGACCTCTCCTGACCCTCCTGCTGCTCCCCTCAGCGGTGTACTTCGTCGATCTGCCTGTTCTGTAGCCCACTCTGTCTCTGGTGAATCCTCTCACCCTCTGCATCTCTGACCTGTACCCCAGTTCTGTACGAATAAATACATAAATCTTTAAAAAAAATGCGTTTATGTACAGAACAATGTAGCTTAGCCTAGTCTACCTTAAACGCGCTCAGAACACTCAGTTTACAGTTGGGCAAAATTCTCGAACTATTTTATAATAAAATGCTGGCCATCTCAGACACCGATGGGCCTTTTGTAGACCTGATCGATATGAAAATACAAAGCATAGAGTCCAAAAATCGCTGGCAATGCAGTGCACTGCGTAGTATTTGTTCTGTGCCCTTGTGACCACCAGGTCGAGCTGTGGGCTGCACTTGGCTGAGCCAGCTGGGCAGCACCAGAGTGTCCCGTTGAGTCTGGTCAGCCCAGGAAGAGGCCGATATTCAAAATTCAAAGTATAGCTTCAACTGAATGTGTATGCTCTCACACCTTGAAAGTCAAAATATGGTAAGGAAAATCATTGTATGCCAGGCACTCTCTGAAGTGCATGGAAAGGTTAAGCTGTTTTAATCTAATAGTATGTGTTTTTCAGAACACAGACTCCTATTTCTCACTTAAATTAAGTCCCAAAGAAGTGGTCCAGGTTGTCAGAAGAGGTCATTCAAGGGCCACTTGTCTCACATCTCAACGATCCACCATCTCAGAGGACTTCTCATTTGCTGACCAAAGACCGCTCCTTGCCAGGTCATGTTCTCAGAAAAGGAACAGAGGAGATGAGACCAGATTTCAGATACAGAACCCCTTCTTCTGAGCTGAATTCTTGAAGACAGTGGCAGAGACACCTGCATGCAATGTAGTCAATCTGGTCCCTGGAAGTCCTGCTCTATTCCTGTGGTGTGAGGGGGTGATCCGCAATCTCAGCCGTAGTTCTAAAATGACATATGAAACAAGACATATAAAAAAAGTAAAGGTTCTCCAGGTGAGAAAATAATAATAATAATGAACAGCTATATACCAGAGACATTTTATGGAGATGGAGTGGGGAATGGGATCAAAAACAGTGGGGGGAAGGAAATACCCTAGACTATGGTGATGACACATGGGTGATTTGGGATGGGAATCCCACGGGGATTATAAGTGAGATGAAAAAGTGCACAAAATGCTGTAAAAATAAACATATTATTAAAAAAAAGTTAAGGTTCTTTTTTTTTTTAAGATTTTATTTATTTATTCATACAGAA